CTGGGAAGAGACAACTCTTTTGTGCATTCTGTATTAGATTTCAGCATCGGAAGTTATATAAAGAGGCAATACATTTTTTTAGCTGAAAACCTGACCAGTTATGTTATTTATTTTATCCTCTGTATGATAAGGAAAAAAATAGTCTATTTCAACAGTTTATATAGATTTGAATTATGAAACGTTGTATGTAAAGATGGTAGAAGCATGTTTGAAACAGAACTATGGACATGATTCAATGGTTAACTTATTTCCTAAATGAATGAGAAAGGAAACAGGTTGCTGCAAGCTTCTGCTCTCACTTCCTTATGAGAGAAGACATAGACGCTGTCTCAGAAAGAACGGGGCCGTTGTGCACGCTCGTCTCAGGCAATCATGGGTAACTGGGTGGAGAATGAAGGACTCTCCATCTTCGTCGTTGTAAGTACAATTTTTATTGTGATTTCTGTCTAGTAATTTTTATTGTGATTTCTGTCTTTCTTCCATCTTAACATGAGAAGGAACTTCTTTACTTTGAGGGTAGTGGAGCACTGGAACAGGCTGCCCAGAGAGGTGGTGGAGTCTCCCACTCTGGAGACATTCAAAACCCGCCTGGACGCTGTCCTGTGTAACGTGCTGTAGGTGACCCTGATCTGTCAGGGGGGTTGGACTAGATGATCTCCAGAGGTCCCTTCCAACCCTAACAATTCTGTGAATTCTGTGAATTCTGTGAAAAAGTTCTACAGAAAGTTGTACTAAGCAGATCTCACTGTGCCAGTGAAGGATGCATCAGGTTATTCAGGAACTAGGGCAGCAAGTGCAGTGAAATGTTTCAAGAAAATAATTTTTAAGGAGCTCTGTCTGTTATCGGTATTGCTGTAGGCTTCATTGTCAACTGAGAAATGATCGTATGTTAACTTTCATCTGCTTTGTTAGAAATATTTACGTATCTGGGTTTTTTTGGATGCAACATTGACTGAAAGAAAACAAATAACATTAGGTCTCATATAACCATGTATGCTTCAACAGAGAAAGCAATTACAAGTCTTGCTTGCACTTTTACAAACAAAAGTGGGTGTAACTGAAAGCAGTGTCTGGATGGTATAAAATTTGCATTAGAGTCAGATTCCAGAATTTAAAGCAGAGATTCATGAATCCTTCATTAAGACAACTAGTACTTGAACTGAGTTTGTTGACAACTTGCACAGAATAGCTGTGAAAGTAGGTTAAATTCATTCTGAGCAAGAATTAAAAGTACTGAAAATCCCAGTCACATTTAAAAGTGCTAAAGACTAAGGCAGGGCAGTCTTTCATGGAGAAAACTTAGGCAGAAGTTAGTATTTCAGTGTTTTCTTATTGTTTTGGTTTGATTTTTTTTTTTTTTTATTTCACAGTGTGATACAAGAGCTATTGGTATACAATTTTGTACAGCTATATAAATAAAAACATGGTAATACCAGTTAAGGGATTGTTGCCAAGCGTGATTAGTATTGTGTAGGTACTGAGAGGAAGAAAAAGCAGAGATAGAATTTCTATATTTGTGGTGACTGAAATGTGAATATCTTTATTCAGAAAGGTATTTCTGCTGCTGTGAACAATCGGTACTTACATACTACCTTTACATTGTAGATGTGTAGCTCTAGTTCAGGAACATAACCCTGGCACTTCAGTGCTTTGAAAAGGAGTAAATGTGTATGCTGTCACCTTCAGTGAATTGAGGAAGTTGAAACTGCCAAGAGGTGAATTCTGGCATATTTTTTCTACCAGTACTGAAATATTGAAAGAATTAAGTAAGAGACCAGCAAGAGGCCCCTATTTTGTTCAAATAAGGAATTTATTTTCTGAGTCTCAAAGCTATAACAAGGTCAGCTAATAGGGAAGGAAACTAAAGAAGTCACTGATAAAGAAACCAGCTAAAAGGACAGTTCAGTTCACTGGAAGCCTTACCAAAAATGTTCTGCATTGTCCGCTACAGCTTTACTGCCCACTGACTAGGTGCAGGGTTATCCAGTGCTTGATAGAAACAGGGCAGCCACAATTTCTATTGATTTACCCCAACAAAACAAAAGCTTGGCAGTCTTGACCCCAGACAGTGCTGCCTTCACTGGCCCTGGCTAAAGAGCAGGGATGGCTGCTAACTCTGCAACTCAACCCAAGTTGCCAGAGGGTGTCACAGTTTTTTTCAAAGGGTTCATGTTCCATATGGGTCAACACCAAGAAGAACTGAGAGACACCATCAAGAATCACACCAAACTTCTTGGTCTCCTGGGCACGCTGTCAGGCTACCGTACACAGGAGTGGCACACTCTCACTTTAAATACGTATCATAAGCACTTCATCCTGAGATGAGCTTCGTTTTTTTAATGAGGTTTTGGGGATTTCCCATATACTGCCTTACCCTGATGGAAATCCCTTCATTCTATTGTATTTATGCCACAAGGGTAAGACATTTTCAAGATCCGAACTAATACCGAGTTTTTTACAGTTCCAGCTGAGCCAAAGAACTAGCAAAACATATGGGTTAGGAGAGGTGAGGGACTGTAATGTCACAGTTTCTGGCATCCTTAAATTATAACCAGAGACTGAGTTTTCACCCAGTTTTCAGGCTTTCTCTCCTCTGTTTTCATGCAGCACCTGGTAAATCTACTTGGACTGAGACTGCACTGATACAAATTGGTTTCACTATGGGATGTGAAATCAGCCAACCAGCTCCAGAAGGGCAAATGGCCAGATTCACTATGATCTCTGTGGCTGGGGGGGGGG